TTCCTGCTGTGCAGAGGCAGCTGCAGCCATGTAGCCTCCATCTGCCTGGTGAAGTGGGATTGCTCCGGCCACATTCTTGTGTGGTCTTGTTCTTGGTGAGGGGCCCAGCGAGGGGCTTCCCTGTGCATCCCATCCTGCTGCCACCCTTATGCCTCCCCATTCCACTGCTGTCCCTGTGTTGCCCCATCCTGCTGCAGCCAGGAGCAGAGAGGATGCTGCTCTGCCCTCCTCTCTCCTGCTCCAGGGCTGGATCAAACCCAGCCATGCTACACCAGTTTTGGCCAGCAGCACCCTCAGTCTCCTCTGTAGGACCCCAGGTTGGAGCTGGATGCCTCTTGCAGTGCTTGCCTGTCCCCTTTCTCCCCCAGCCAAAAGCCCCCAGGGAGTTCGCATCCCACTGTGCAACCCTGTGCCACATGAGTGGCTGCCTCTGATGGAAGCTGGAGTTTCCAGGCTGTTTTGATAAAGGGAACAGGTTTATTTCATTCATCCCATTAAGCTTTCCAACAGGCTGTGCTGCCAGGAGAGGGCTCGCTTGCAGTGCCACACATGCTGTCTGCCCTGCCAGCAGTGTGAGGTCCTGGCACGGGCTTGCCCTTGCACATTGTGATCCCTGCCATGTCAGCCTGGTCCTGCCTGGGGCCTTGGGGAGGCTGGTGCACACTGCAGCAGCAGGACCCCAGTCTTTGGAGGTGTGAATCAGGGGAGGGAGCAGGTGGGGAGAAAGGGGGGGCTGCTAGCAGACACCAGGCTGGCTTTGGCAGCTCTGCCAGGGGCTGTGCCTGTCCCCACACTGCCGTGCCCTGGCTTGCTCTGGGATGGGACCAGCCCCGGCACAGATCTGGCAACGTGACTGGACCCAGGGCAGCCGAAACTCTAGCTTGTGCAGGAGAAGGTGGCACAGCCCAGACTCCCTCGCTGGGCCCCTCTCGTGTGCCTGTGGCATGGGGTCAAGGGTCCCCTGGGCGAGTGACTCCTCCTGGTTGGGATCATGGTCCAGGGCTGGGCTGTGGGGTGCCTTAGACACAGGTGCAGTCCTGGGCCAGGATGTTGGGCACCGTCTCATACTTGAAGGAGTACCCACCATCAGAGGTGGTGCGGACACGCAGGGAGCGCATGGTGCCAGGCAGGGCAGCACAGCAGAGCTGCACACCCAGGCGGTGGCTCAGCCCATGGCCCTCAGCGCAGCTCCCATGGCAGTAGTGGAAAACGAAGCTGCTGGGATGCACAATCCACTTGTCCCAGCCCAGCTCCTCAAAGGAGATGTTGAGGGAAGCCCGGCGGCAGTTGGTATGGGCAGCCAGGTCCTCGGACGGGCGCTGCAGCAGGCTCAGGGCAGCTGGGGACCAGGGCATAGTGGAGCGACGAGCCCTCTCACTGCCCTTGGCCTGGGTGGTGGCCACCAAGAAGGGCATCTTGTCCCCATCGGCCAGGCAAGGACAGCCAGGGCAGCGCACCAGGAGCACGAAGAGTGGCTGCGAGAGCTGTGGCAGCAGGGCCGGGGCAAGGTGAAACACTGTCCAGTTCTCAGGTGTCTGCACCACTGTGGCTGTCACTGGCACGCGGCCCTGTGGTGACAGGGTCAGCACATCAGGAGCCGAGTGGTTGGGAGCAGCCGAGGGGCCAGTGTAAAACCAGAGCTGGGCAGAGGTCACCGCGCAGCTCTGGGTGTGTGCCGAGGGCTGGAAGAGGTAGGTGAAAATCCCTTCTTCCTCCAGCAGCTTGTCTGGCTGTGTGGGCTCACAGGGCACATCTGTGGGGTGAGAAAGAAGCTCTGGGTGCACATCCAAAGGCAAGGAGGGTCCCCGGTGCCAGGCAGGAGGTGGGGAGCTGTCAGGGCTCCCAGCTGCCAGTGGGGGATGTGGCAGGGTGTGGGGGAGCTGATGTCTAGTGCTGTGTAGCAGCCACTGCACTGCACCCTGCAGCTGAGCCTTGCTGTGGGCTAAGCTGATGCGTTACTGGTGCCCCTGTCCCCCAGTGTCCTGCCCCATCTCCTAGTCTCCTGTTCATAGCTGGACACTCTGCCCCATCCCACAGCCTCTTGCCCTGTCCCTTTTGTCCCATCCCATTTCCCAGCATCCTGCCCCATTCCCTAACATCCCACCCTATCCTGTCTTCCTTCTCCTCAAACCTCCCCATCTCTCCACATCCCACCTGGTCCAGCTGTTCCCCAGACTCTTGGTACCCTCTTGTGCTGCCTGCCCCCCTCCCTAGCTGTGTCCTGTTCTGCTCTGCCTGTCCCTGCTTGCCATCCCTTTCCTGCTTGCCATCCCTTTCCACCTCCTGGCTTTCTACCACACCTCATCCATGCCTTTGCCCCAGCCTGGCATACCCTTTTTCTCTTCTCCCGCCGACCCCCACAGCAGCTCCTCCATCCTGCTGCATCCCCACTGCCCAAGCCCCTACCCTGCTTGATCCCTCTGCTTTCTCCATCCTGCCATTCTGTTCTCACCTGTGGAAGGGAAGAGGATCACCTGGGAGGTGTCTTCCAGATCCTCAGGCTTGACTTCATCGTTTTCAAGGATGTCTCTCCGGTGCACCCTCCTTGCTTCCTTCTGGGGCTCCTCTTGGAGAAGCGGGGGGCTCAGATGCTCCAGCACCCGAGCCCGCCCCTTGGCCAGGATGAGCTGCCGATCAGCACCAGCCCCAGTGCAGCCGG